ATGACTTTGCCCTGACTGGAGAAAGGCGCCTGCAACTTCAGGGTTGACTTTGCTTCACAGTGGAGTGAGCTTGTGCACGGATCTACTTTAGGGTAGTTTGGTGCGTTTTCTGTACTAGTGTACTTTCGCAGTCTGTATGTCTGTATGCATGTATGGATGTATGTACCTATGGATGCATGTATGTATGGTGCAGTGTCGCCCGACCCCCCTCTCCCCCCATGGTATCCCCCCCTACCCCCGTTGTGGTGTGGTGTGGTGTGGTGTGGTGTGGTGTGGTGTGGTGTGGTGTGGTGGTGTGGTGTGGTGTGGTGGTGGGTTGTGGGTTTCAGGTTGAATGTTTAGCCCCTGTGGTGTGGTGGTGGGTGTTGGGTTTAGGGCGTGGTGTGGGTGGTGGGGTTGTTTAGGGCTCAGGGTTTAGGTGTACAGATATGTAAGGGTTTTTGACACTCACACTCGGACAAGGGTTTAGGGTTGCGGGTCAGCAGCTGGGCGCGGCGCAGACCGAAACCATGGCTCATCCAGGTGAGTGTCGCCACTTTGGACACGCCACGAAGTTGCATAGCTTCAAAAGTCACAGCACTCACGAGTATCCCGGATTCTTTCGTGGGTCCCTGTGCAGATGGGCAACTTGAAGCGCACGTAACACATATAATCATGGTAATACATAAACAAATACATACCCACATCTGTACATTGCTAATCTACATCTATGCCCTTATACACCTGTACATTTAGGCATCTATACATATTTTCATTTAGCACTGTTGCATTTATACATGCATATATCTGTACCCCTATACAACGACACACCTGTACATACATACATACATGCATACATACATGCATACATACATGCAAACATGCAAACATGCAAACATGCAAACATGCATGCATACATACAGTACATACATACGTACATACATACGTACATACATACATGCAGACATACATACATACATACATACATACATACATACACACATATATACAGATGCACATGTATGCCTTTACACACAAGATTGCATCGAGCTGTCGAAGCGGCGTTTTGCGGAAAACACACTCTCCTCAAATCTGTTTTTTGTGATTTCCCCCGATTCGAGTAGCATTCGGGGCTCCTTGTTTGTTTTTGTGTTTACAGACTGGCAGTTCAGGGTGAAACGACAAGGGTTTGGGGTTTGGGGGCCGACTTTCCAAATTGCACACTTGGCTTAAGTGTCGGGAAGGTTTCCGTCCACGATCTTGTTTCCAGGTGAAGATGGCGGAAAAGGAAAAGATGGAGATAAAGGACTGGCTGGTCCGACCCCAATGCAATTGTTGTTCCGAGAGACTTAAACTACACCCGTGCCACAGCGGTTGCTGCGACTGCTACCGCGCGCTGCTTCAGGTTCACTCTCGCTCCCACATATTCATCGTGCCACTGGCGCTATGACTGCTACTGCTTTTGCTATTGCTACTGCTGCTGGCGCTACTCCAACTCCTGCTAATCACTTACTCATCCCAGTCTTGCTCCTACTCCTTCTCCGAGTACCACTAATGCTACTACTGCTATTACTATTGCTGCTACTGTTACAATTACAAGTACTTAAAATTACAATTACTAGTACTACTACTGCTACCACCACTACTAGTACTACCACTACTACTACTGCTGCTACTACTACTACTACTACTACTACTAATACTACTACTACAGCTGCTACTACTACTACTACTACTACTACGACTACTACGACTAATGCTACTACGACTACTACTACCACGACGACGATGGCTGCTACTTGGACGACGGCTATCACAACTAGTACGATACTACGACTACGGCTACGGCGATTACGAGGACGACGACTGCTACCATTGCTGCTGCTACTGCTACTTCTACTGCTACTAATGCTACTGCTGCTGCTGCTACTACTACCACCACTACGACTAGTACTACTACTGGTACGGCGACGACGACTACTACTACCACTGCTACTGCTGCTACTAGTACTACTATTACTACTACTACTACTACTACTACTACTACTACTACTACTACTACTATAGCTACTGCTACTGCTACTGCTACTGCTACTGCTGCTACTGCTGCTGCTACTACTACTACTACTACTACTACTGCTGCCACCGCAGCTGCTACTTCCAAGGCAAATATGAATGCTAATGCTCATGCTGATTATGCTGCTGCTGCCACTGCTACTGCTACGGCTACGGGTGTGGCTAGTGCTGCTTCTCCTGCTGCTGCTACTGCTGCTACTGCTGCTACTGCTGCTGCTGTTGCTGTTGCTGCTGCTGCTGCTGCTGCTGCTGCTGCTGCTGCTGCTGCTGCTACGACTACGATGACGACGACGACTACTACTACCAGCACTATACCACCACCACCAACACCACCGCTGCCCGCCGCCGCTGCTGCTGCTACTGCCGCTGCGACTATTTCCACTACCACTACCACTACCACTATGTCACCATTACCACTACCACCACCGCCATGACCACGACGATGACGACGACTTCTACTGGTGATACTCCTATTGCTGCGGCTGCTGCTGCTGCAGCTATTTTGCCGCCTTCGCGCAATGCTGTCAAAACCAAAGAGCTTCAAGTGCCCAGATTTCTAAACACCACTCTCTAGCGCTTGAGCTCGATGCAACACTCCTGCACTACGAGTCTCTGAAGTTCACTTGAACTGGAACCCACTGCTACCAGGGCAGGTGAGGGCCGGACGCATGGGCCGTATTTGCAAAAGACGGGCATCGAAGCCATCGTTTCGCAAAGCCTCACGTGTGCAATGGTGCGGGTAACCGCGCAGTTTTGCAGGATCGACTACTACCGCAGAGCCTGATGAGCCTACGACATCCACAACGACCACGACACCAAGACCAGCAGGCAGGAAGAGAGTTTATCTTGCAGTTATGCCTCGAAGATCTCGTTTTGCATTCCCTCAAGATGCAGCTATGGCATGTAATTGTGAAGGTCGTGGTCTTGATAAGCATGGATGATTTCGGCCCATCTCGTGCACAGTGCCAGTCTTGATCCTGTCTCGCTGCTTCTTCCCATCGCATTGATCTTCCCGCTTTTCTCCCGAGCCACGGGTCATCACTTCTTTGTTGACTTCGCTTGGCACTGGCCTCTAGATGCGCTTCTCAGCCAAGGGCCGATTACGTGCCCGGCGGATTTCCAGAGGGCACATTGCTCGAAGTGCATGCCCCAGGCCAGAATGATGAAGATGATGAGGAGGAGGCTTATGACGATGCTGAGGGTGAGGATGCCGATGCGGTAGCTTTACTGTCGCAACAGAAGCCATCTTGAATTTCAGCTGTTGAGGTTTCCAGTGTGCAGCGAATGCACATGAGGCTATGAAGCGCCTGTGTTTTGATCCCGACCTGTAGCACCTGTCTCATGCCGACCGAACCAAACGAATCTACCTGCAAGACCGTGTTAGGAAGAGCCCGAGGGCTGCCTTTGAGTGTCTGACCTAGGTGCTACTGGACCGGTGGCTCGGATGGCGTGACAGAATGCCTGGGAACCCAATGGAGGTGCAGAGAGAGGAAGCTGGGTCTTCCGCTCGCCGACCCCAATCAAACTCACGCGTCTCAGCCTCCGATGTTGGGGCTTGAGGCTTGCTAAGATTGTACTTTAAATTCGTTGAACAGCTCAGCACTGAGCCCAGAAGCAATCGACGGCAGATCCCCACACTTGTAAAGCGCACAAACCTTTTGGCCTGAGCCGTGCATCAACCCGTAAGCTCAAAAGCGTTAGTAGCAACCAGCCAACCCGCATTACGCTTACCCAGGTCAGGACTGCTCGTCCCCGTACACTTTGGAGGACAAGGCTAGCACTTTGATGCGCGCAATCGCAGCAGTATTCATACCAGCAGCAATAGCAGCAGTCGTCGTCGTTGCTGCTACTACTACTACTACTACTACTACTACTACTACTACCACCACTTTTCGTCGACGACTGCCTCCACTAAGACGACTGCAACTGCCACTGGCCAATACTTAATCATTATCTTGTTTTACTTCCCAAGCTCCAGCATCATGATCATGATGATCTGCGTCATCATTATCACCGCCATGGGCATCACCACCCTCATTATCATCATCATCATCATCATCAACAACACCCTCAGAATCACTAAAATTATCATCATCATCATCAACAACACCATCACCTTCTACCTCCAGACGAGGAGCCGACGTGCTCCATGCCTTACAGTACAAGACAGTCCCAAGTGTGTCCAAATGCACAGGCCTGCCAGCTCAGCTGCTCCTCCCTGCCTGCACCGGATCCCAAGCCGGGCATGTGCCGCCCTCACTTCTGTCTGGAAGTCCTGGGAAGTTTGGGGAACTCGGGGGCTTGGGACGGTTGGGAGACAGTCTGGATGCAATTTGGTTTGCGGTTGATGCTTCCGGGAAATTTGCATAGATTTGTGTGGCACGTGCAAAAACGACATGGTGGACTATGGGGATCTGAGGATGACCAGTGACTGGTGTCTTTGGGTTCGACACTCGTATCGGCGGTGGGAAGAGTAAAATCCCCGCAGCGGTACGCTTGCAGCAGTACCCTGCTACACCAGTCCTAAACCCGCAACCTAAGCAGACTTTTGAATGTCACTAGTAACACTATAGTACAAGTACATTGCAACGCGACGAGAGCGCGACTCCTTGAGAGCCAGGCCCGACAACGCCATGAAATACAACGGAATCAGCTGGCCGACGGTTTGCTTCGACGACTCGGAGGCCCCGGGCCCCTGAAAGTGCCGAGAATGTTTCTGCCTATGGAGCTCGGGCATTAGGGGTACTGCGATGCGAAAGACTTGTAGTTTCATCCGGGCAGCAGGCCTCTCTTGTATCGCCTGCAACGCCAGGCCCACTTCTTCACCATTGGTGATGCTTTGCTGAAGTTCAGCAGGGGTGTGGCTGGTTCATTAAGGGACTCTGCGGTGTTCCATGTCGTCAGGTCCGACCGATGTTGTTGATAAAGAGCTGTTCGTTCCGGCAACAGGCCCCAAACACCCCTAAAGCTCAATGCCGTAAAGCAGCCCTACCCGGCCCTACCCTAAATCTTGAAGCATAACCCACAAACCCACAAACCCACAAGCCCAGACCCTCCCAGAACCCCGAAACCACAAGCTCCCAAGTTGGGCCCAGGACTGGGGAGGCTGGACAGGAGAATGCCTTCTGCTATTCTCTTATACCCTACATGCCATAACCCTAAGTAGAGCCCTAAACCATAAGCCTTAAACCCCAACAGTCTGCAACCGTAGAGTCCAGAACCCTCTTTGTCCATTTCCCTGATGTCTAGAGGGTTCGGCCGCGATAGGCTGTTGGGGTTTTGGCCCCAACGTGGGTGACCAAAGGCTTAGGCCTTCGGGCATCGGTTTCCTGACCTTCTCATTGTTTATTTCATGCTCTGTTTCTGGGTATGATATGCCTGTGGCTCGTATGTACTTGCCAATCGCGGGGGCGACTGCTCATGAGCATTGCCAATTTTGCAGCCGTGAGTACATGAGCTTGTTGCACCGATTGGCAGATGTAGGGTTAGTTCTCTAAAATTAAGGTCCGTTGTAGGGTCCCTAATCGAAAAAAGGACCCTAATTTAGAAAACTACCCATAGACACGAAGCCGTGAAGCCAGAGGCCGCGCGCGCATGTGTGTGTGTGCCCCCGTGCACAGTTTCTTCTTGAACCCGACTGGGGATCCATTGATAGGCCGCGTTCCAGCATTGAAGCATCGTGCCACACGCACTGCAGCTGCATCATGGCTCACAATGTACACCGAAAGACTCAAGACCGGAAGCAATCCCCAAACAGATCACGACCGTGCAGCCAACGGTTTGGGAGCCAGAAGCTAACAAGCAACAAGATGCATAAGATGCACGACACCGTCCAAACTCCTTTGGGTCACAAGTTCCCAGCCTTGTCGCAGGCATGTGCGAGGGGCATTGTGGAGCGTCGTGAGCCCAGACAACTAGATTGACTAGATAATACCCTGTACTTCTAGCGACTGTTTTCTAGGGAACCCCTAAAGGGACCTACGTCTACATCCTACTAGGGGTCTGGGTACTGGTCGTCGCCATCCAAAATAATAGCTGATCTTCAGCAATGCTGCTGGCATCGGAAACAAAGTGGAGCAACCGCAGTGCCAGCAGTAGCAGACACAGCCAAATGCGGCAGAACCATAATCACAATTTCGCAATTTATCATTGCCATTGGCCGTCCTCATCATCAGCATCATTACCGGTGTTATCATCGCGATAGGCACCGCATCCTCCTCCTCCTCCTCCTCCT